AATAAATCCAACTTCATAAAACAGTGACAAGTAGTGCTGTTTCCTAGATGGGCTCTTCTCAAGGACCAGGAAGCAAGCAGTATACCACTTTGATGTGGGGACCACCAAGCGCAACCAAGATGGGGAGGGGCAACTCATGAAACAGGGACTCTTCAGAAGCAGGTTTCATTTCAGAAACACCATAATTTTGGGTGCATCTGGGGTTTCCAGAATTAAGCACTGCAGATTTTGGGGGGCAGCGGGTGAGGGGGATAGGGTAGTGAGGGAAGGCAGCTTGGAGGCCTGTCTCAGTTCAGAGCAAATGTTTTCCCAAAAACTGGAAATAGGATGGACCCAGCCAGCTCCAGATAACCTGGCAAGGTTCATGCAACATGAAGATGAACAATCATAGCCCTGAACACAAGGAAAGCCACAAGGCACTAACATTAACTTGCCCATAAGGCAACTATAGGATATGCTTGCTTCCCAAGCCTCATCTGAACAGATTTAGCCATCTTGCGATAAAGTGTGACCTAAAGAGTTACAGGCCCTGGGATGTGGGCAAGTGAGTGAAAACTGTCACTACCGCTCTGCCTCAAAATTTGCATGAAAAAGGAAAATCTAGAAGCTGAAAAACAGGAAGTTTTCCTCTTGAATTACATCACAAAGGAATAACAGTTTACCGGCCCATTGCAATTTGGAGCCCAGACAAACAAACATCCCCTTACATTGTCCGCTACAAAAGACACTGGAAGCAAAAGGGGAACATATGCTTCAGATTCAGGCTAAGGAAAAACCAGAGAGGGGGTGGGGTCAGTTTGATTTTTACCACTTCAAACTGAATTAACGTATAGTTTAAAGGAAGTTTTTGTCACTTATATGACTTGTATCGGTTTCCTGTTGCGGCATCTGCCAAAATCTTAATTCCTGCCTCCCCCATGTCCTTGTGTTGAAATCCAAGCAGATGATGCTGCATGAACAAGGGGTTTTTTTTTGGCTTTTAATACACTTATGCAAATTGAGCAGAATAATTCCATTTGCCAGAGCTTTGTAATGAGAAGACCTGCAGCTACAAACCTCTTCCAGACAAAATAAGCGAAGCTCCACAAACACAGAAGATTATCAAGGCTTGTGGCTTTGAGAAAAAGGGGCAATGATTGGATGAAATGCTACCTGCAGCCACTTGCTTTAACATGCGCGGTAGTTTTGTACCTTAAAATTGGGTTTAAATGCATTTTCGAAAGGGTTTAAGATGTCTGAACTAGCAGGAGTAGTGCTTCCAAGGGACCATTAGGAAGAGACTTTATTTTTACCCTACCCATTAGTTAAGGATTCAAAGTCAAACCAGGTATTTAGGATGTGACTACAGATGTTCATCAGGCCAATCAGAGACCCTTTCACAGGTGGGGGTCTACAGAAACCTCAGCTGGAGCAGACAGGCCGGCAGAGAGATCTCCATCAATCCTATGCCTTTTAAAGACAAGTTCAGCTAAATTCCTACCGACCCAGGCAGTTGATGGCAGGAGCAGGGACAGACAATTGCAGCAAAGGCAAGTCAGGCTCCCTGATTCCTAACTTACTGAAACCATTACCAGCAAGTGCCAACCTGTACCGCTGGTCGCTGCATCATGCCTGCTTAGGTTTTTTGATCGCAGGCCTCTGCGGCTGGACTTCTGCTCTTTGTCGAGCTGGACTGACTTGCAATTCAGGCCGGGGTCCATGTGTGGAACTGAAAAATATGAGTCAGTCTTCTAATCAAAGGCAGTTTTTCATCTCCCCTGCTAGTTGGTTGGAAGACGTAACTCTGGAGGAGAAGGATTACAGCAGCTGTTGCTAGCAAGCCACAAGCCGTAAAAAAAAACATTAAAAAATAAAGCTTACAGAATTTGACTTTTTACCCACAAAAACATCTGTTGCGAAAGCAACTCTCCAAGGTATTCCCAACCCAGAGCCATCAACTTCCATGGCCACAAGCATTTGGGCTAACCAGAAATGTAACTAGCCCCCCATGTTACCTAGACTCCAGGTAGAGGGATCTGTTGAGAGGAACAGTGCCAGCATCCCCGCGCTGTCCAAATGAGCTGGTCTTTTTGGGCCGACAGCTACAAAAAGTGTGGCTTCTTGAGCACCCAGCAGAGATGAAGTCCAGGGAAGTGTCTGAATTTCTTATGCTGGGGACAAGGGGAAGCTGCAACGTCTGAGCTGCTCCTGCACCTGCTTCTAGTAAAAATGACACGGGTAACAACGGAGGTTGTTCTGCTACATGCATCATTGCCACCTCTGTACCCATCGGGTCCGGTAGCCCTGTAGAAATTCTGCTGTGAACTGACCTGGATTTCTGTTCTGCATCCCGAACCAACAACCCGCCTTACTTCAGTGGCAGTTCAATGCAAGTTCAACCACTAAAAAAGCCCCAGTTAATACAACCTTCACTCCTTCACCTTCATGCCAGAGCAGGCTTCCTGCCAGGTACTGCAAAAAACCTGGTGTTTTAAAGCTGTGAGCTTCCTTCAGACTTATTCCAGGGGAGAAAGCATTTCCCCACTTGCATAGCATGCACTCATCAGCCTCAGCATTGTCTTCTGGCTCTTGCCCTGCAAATCATGTTGTCAGCACTTGGAGATGCGCTCCCACAATCCAGCAAGTTTAAAAGGAAAGGATTTCTAAGCCCTCACCAGTGAGCAGTGTTTCCATGCTATTCCCCATCCACCCTTCAGCTACTGGTGTCCATTAAGGAATGAGAAACGACAAGATTAAATCTCTCTCCATGACTGCTGCTAAACAACTTGGCCACGAGGGAGGACGCTCCTGTTTACATGCGTGCAGACATCGGAAAGGAAACAGCAGCAAGAACTAATCAGTGAAGGCACCAGGCAGTTTTTAAAGAATTCGCCACCTCCGGGAGCAGCATGACAGGCTTCGTGCCATGTGATGCTTGGGCCCCTTCTTCCTAACTTTTATGAATATTCAGAGTAACCTTCCATTCGCGGTGCAGACTGAATCAGGAGAGAATTGACTGTGCCCTATTGCACGTGGAAAATTCGTAAACACTTCTCTTGCACATCCGTCTGAGGCCTTGCACAAGTGCTCGATCCTCGCCGCGGCTGCGCGGGGCGGGCAAGTAACAATATCCTGCCGGAGGAGCCGGTAAACAGGCCGCACGATGAATAGGGCCCGGGCTCCGCGCGCCGTGCTAATCGTGCGGCCACATTCATCCCATCACTGACTCATGCATTTCCGCTTATCACAAAGGTATTAAGATAGAGAGCAGAGGCTCGCTAGCCAGAGGTAAACAATTAAGCATTCATTAGGTGAACACGAGACGGAGCCTCCAAGCTCTTGTTTGAGACTCGGGACAGTGCGTCTTCCAGCCAGGGCCCTCTCTGTTAGCCAGCTACATTGGCCTCCATGCTTTGGCTCTTCCTTCGCGTCTGCTGAAAAGGAAAAACCTGTGGAGAAGCCTTGAGTGTCGCCAATGTGTCCCTGCTGCCTTTCTACTACCCAAAGGCAGAGGACTGCCAGAGCCTAGTGGCTCACACAGCTGGCACACCAGTTTCTGTAGCCAAGGGAGAGGTGGGGCTGGTGTCACATCCATCTGCCTTCCCCCCCCAGCCTGAATAACTATGCATAGTTGAGAGCCTTTGGCACGAGCCCAGAGCAGGACTCAAACTCCCACCACTAGAGCCGTGGCAAGATGCTCTCAGGCCCATGCCTTTCTGCTACAGACACTAATAATAGTGCACTATCAAGCCCTTTGAACCAAAAAGCCCTTTGACCTTTTGCAAAGTGACCTGGAAGGAAAGCACGCCCTAAAATACCTAATCGCGTTCAGCGTGACCATTCTCTTCCTGGGGAAATGGTCGGGCACATCATGCACTCGCAGTGAGGAGGGGGTCTTAAAGGCAGATGTGCTCGGACAGCCTTTGCTTGCTTTGAGCACTGCAGCAGACAGAGAAGGCTGTCCCAAATCAGAGCCGCTGATCCACGCATGACCGGTGACTAATGATCCACTATACAGACCTATTTCCCCATAAACTGCTCGGTGTAAGAGACTGCAAAACAGGAATGCACCTTCCACGTACATGTAGATGGCATCCGTTCATCAGCGAGCAATGTGGCTAACCAATGTACAGGTAGGATTTGTGTCAGGCAAAGGACGTTAGAAGTCCCCGTGTGAGGGCAGTGTCTTCATCTGCTCTCCCTTTATTTTCAGCCCAAGCATGGCCTCACTTTGTCACTGTCCCTTTTACGCTCAGATGTGGAGCTCACTGAGGACATACGCCGTCCCAGCCCAACAGCATGAAGTACTTTGCCAGTGGCACATGGCTGTTGTGACCCCCAGTAATTCTGGGATAACTTTGGGAAGGATGGTCGGCAACCAGGGAGATAGATATGAGAGTCTAGCCTTTTAAAACCTAGCGACAGGTTGAACAGGAAAATGAGGTTAGGATGCATGCTGTCCTCAGTCTCTTTGGCCGTGAGACAGAGTTCTGGGTGTACGAAGTGTCTGTTCCAGCTCTGCCTCAGTCTTAGCACAGCCACGGCTATCAGACCTCGTGAGCACCAAAGCAGCATACACACAGTGCGTGATCACAAGGTGGGAAGCTTTACCTCCCTGGGAACGCATTGCATATAAGATGCATGAGCTGGAGCGCAGTTTGTAGCATTTGGCAGCCCCTCTGCATGGCACGCGCCAGATCAGGGAGGCGACAGGCAGCACAGCAACAGATAGGACAGGGAGCAGAAAGCAGAGCAGCAGAGCAGCTGGGGAAAAGAGATCGGAGTGGTCCTCTAGGAGGGAGGCAGGGCTAATTTGTGTCACATCTGCCAAAAACATTGGCCCTGCATTGTGTTAGGGTGTTGTATAAGTGAGCCTTGCTTGATGCTCAGTTCAGACAGGCAGCATCAGGGCGATCCCTCTGGATGCTTCTCCATCCTGGACGGTCTGTACTGCCTGGGTTGAGGCCAGAATCCCATCAGCCGCTGCTATATTTGTGGGTACCAGAAAATATTGCACTTACCCCTCTGGCTCCCCACTCCAGATCCAGGACCAGCAAAGCAGATGCCAGTCTGGCGTCTCGCTCCAAACTCACCTCTCTCTTTTCCGTGCATTTTGGGTCTGAAACACTGTGTTTGGCCCGTTGTCTCGTTTGTATTTGCGTCTCACGGCCTTCGAGGAGGACCAGGGCCGGGGGAAGCGGAGCGAGAGAGGATTGACGAGCCATCTCAGCAACTCCTGTTCCAACACACTGCCCTCTTCCCTCCGCCAGCGCCGTTCCCTGGGAAGCGCCTGCCCCAAGACTATCACAATGATGATCGAGGTCCTGTTGAGAAAATGCTAAGCAACTATTGACCATTTCTGCGGTTGATTGAGAGCTACATTGAGGAAGCTTTCTAATGGCTTTCTGATGAACAAAGGAGCAAAAGATTTCTTGGAGCCAAGCATTCTCCTGGTAGGTTTCCAGTAAGTGAAAGATCCAATTCACAGATTTGTGGGGGGGCTGCAGCAAGCAGCTGGCTCCGTCACGTAGATCCTGCCGGCTGCCAGATTTCAGTAATTACACACTGACTAGGAAGATAGGAATCCATAATTCTACTACTTCAGACTCTCTGCTGGCTGCATGTTGAATCCAGCTATTATTCACTCGATAAGATTTCCATCATTCTTAAAAAAAAAGAAGAAAAGAAATGCATTCTGTGTTGTCCGCGCTACCAAGAAAAGAAAGCCTGCTGGCGACAAGCGGAGAGTCCTGAGACACCAGATTAATGCTGCGTGGACTCCGAAATAAGACCCATGTCAAAATAAAGCCAGCTAGATAAGTTGCCTTTGAGGACAGCAAAAACACAAAGCGTCCATTTTTGGGTTGGCAGCCGTTTCTCAGGCCGTGATCCCAAGGGAGCTTGAACACCAGAAGCCAAAGACTGGTGGGTGTTCGTGACATTTTGGGAAAGGGGCCCCTTTCTGGACTTCTTCACCGTGTTGTGAAGAAAAGCTCTCATTTTCATCTCGATACGCCGCTAAGTAAAGAGATCTTATTTCCTCCTTCCAGTTGTTGCAACACATCCCATCATATGATCTCTGCAGATCATATGCTGCAAAAGCTAATCCAAAAAAGCCTTAAACTACAGAGGTGTGCTATCCAGTGCCACCGCTATGAATCCATTTCAAACAATTACTTATTTATGAGCAAAGCCTAGTCAACCAGCAGCCAGACCAAGTCGTGCAAGAGCTGGTTAGAAACAACTATTCAGCAGCAACGCAGAATAGCCCGACTCAAGGTTTGCTTCATCATTCGGTTCAGCGGGATCGGACTGTGTCTAGGCAGGTCCTGGGACGACTCTTGCGACAGAGGATACAACAGCGACCTATTATTGAAAAAAATTCCCCGCTGCTCCTGTTTCCGTAGGGGATGCTCCAGCGTAGATCAGGCTCCCGCTGCTGAAAACGTCATAGTTTCATATGAAACTATGACTTTTTCAGCACTCGTATTGCCAACACCTCCAAACCGCCTTGGACGACCAGCCCAATTCCTGGAAGAACTGCACGGCGAAAGGATGCAGACCCCTTCTTGGAACCAGCCTGCTTGAGACTCGTCTCTCCTTCTGCTCTCGGCTCTATTTATGCACCACAGACAGGAAGTGAGGTGTAAGAGGATGGAATTCAGAGACAGGAAGTTGGGGGGGCACTACCGATGGACTTCCTGTGCTTGCAGCCTACTCCGCCTGGACGATGCATGAATGCGCTGCAAGGGGGGCTGGCCTGGGAGAAGGGTTTTTGAACGGAGCAGCAAAGACAATCGTGAATTGTTTGCCGCTCGTTCGGCATCGCATCATTTGTGCCGACGGGACTCAAAGGGGGCAGGACACATGCTAACATCCATCACACCGACGTAACCTTACGTTTCCCCCTTGAGTTATTTTGGATTTGGGCAATCGAAGAGAATCTATAAATTCATAGAAAGGGCCATTAAATTATCCAGTCTGAGCTCCTATTACAGGCCATCACATTGCATCCATTTGTACTGAGCCTGATCCCTTGTGTTTGCCTGAAGCCTCCTTCCCACAATGCACCCAGCCTGGCGGATGGAGAATCCAGCTCTCCCCCCCATCCAGCAATTAATCTCCCAGCCCATTACATTCATTTTTTTAATCCAAATGTATCTGGCTGCAGCTTCCAGCCATTGAGTCTTACTACGCCTTTCTCCCGTAGCTGAACAGGAGCTTTGGTACGTTATTTTGTGTCTGCGAGGATACTTTCACACAGTTTCCATCGCCTCCCCGTCACCTTTTTGCCGGGCTCAGCTGGTATGTCCTCTAGCCCTCAAATCAGTTCTGATGCTCTCTTCTTCACCGCCAGCGACATTTCAGACCCTTTTAAACATGCTTTCTGTTAAAAGCAAAGCATGCTGCAGTACATGCAGGGGAAAAAACACTGCCCTCTCCCTCCTCCCCTGTTCAGACATCCTCAGCCCTTCGTGCTGCGGTGTTTGCTGGCAGCTCAGGTTTTGCTGCAACCCATCAGTGACCCAGCACCTTTCCCGGACCCATTTTGTGGGTATGGCCTGCATGCCTTAGGCCTGGATGTATGACTTTGCCGTCGTCTCTCCTGACGTGTCTTCTGCCCCGTTTACCACAATCTAGGTGGTTTTGCCTGAATGCCCTGCCCCCATCACTACTCACCCTTCAGCCAGTCCGGGTGTCGTTCACGTGTGTATCACCACCAATTTTAGACTTACTTCTAGATCATGAGAAAAACATTAAATAGTATCAGGCCCAGTACCAACCATGTGGGACCCCTAGAAACACCCCTGTGGCAACTGTCATACGTCAGTTCTTAATATATTTAACGAGCGCTTTGCCAATATCATCTGCTGTTAATTTTTTACCCAGAATGCCTTACAGGACTTGCAAATGCCTTGCAGTGTAACCTGAAGAAAGTTTATTACAGCTAGGCTGTAGCTGTAATGAATATGAAATCTAGTCTATTGTCCATAAAACCATGTGGCCTCCTCGTATCCTTCAGTTCCTTGTTAATCGCCTTTGTATGACTTTCTCCACTTTGCCATCCATTCCTCTTGAACTGTATTTAACTGGATCACAAAGTAGAGAGGAGTCCTCCAGCAGATGTCATTCCCTGCACCCCTCCCAGTGCTGCTGCATTGTACCCAGGTTCACTCCATAAGCGTTTCATTTAATCATTCAATAATCTCTGGCCAGGTGAGATTGCACTGAGTTACTCTCTCTTCTCCGTTACTTACTGTGTTTGCATGATGTAAAGGGTAATTAAGATGTATCATGGACTTGCATTTCAGTTATTTTAAACTTAGTCACTGGAGTAAAAGGAACAGGTAGTATCTAGGCAGAGCACAGCTGGAGATGAATGATATTAATCCATTGATTGTAAGGTCAGAAGGGACCGGGTGATCATCGCTTTGCCTGACCTCCTGTATAACACAGCCCAGAGGACTTCTCTGGATGATGTCCTGGTTCACTAGAGTACAGTACACCTTTGTGGAAAGCATCTCATCTGGATTACAGTGTCCTAGGGGTTAGCTCTCCTGGCTAATTACCCTCATTCTTAAACATTTGCACCTTGTTTCTAACCAGAATGGGTCCAGTTTCACCTTTCAGCCCCTGGATCCTTTACCTGCTGAATGAAAAAGCCTGTTAGCCCATTTCTGTTCCCCACACAGGTAGGTATAACTTGCCCAAGACACCCTGGATAGTCCCTCTGATGGACAATTTTGCTCCTGGAGTCTGTCTCTGGAAGGCCTGTATGCTTATTCTCCTGGCTTTTCTCTGAACCCTCTTCCAAATCCTCCCCACATCCGTGACTTATCACACATCTGGACCACACACAGCACTCCAGTGGTGGCTGCACCTGTGTCAGGTGCAGATCTGCAGCTCCCCTGCTCCTATTCAGTGTCCCTCTAGCAATATTAGCCTTTTTGGCTGGTGTTGCAGTGGGAATTCACATCCAGCCAACTAACTGTTCAGTATATGATCCCTCTCGTTCTTTCCCACCTCACTGATCTCCAGGAGTGCGTCCCTATTCTATAAGCGTGACCCTGGCTCTTTAGATGGGGGGTCACTTTGAATCACTGAATCATGAAATCACAGAAAAGGAGAGCGGGAAGGGAGCTCAGGAGGTCACATCTAGTCCAACCCCTACTCAAAGCAGGACCAGCCCCAACTACATCATCCCAGCCAAGGCTTTGTCTACCTGGGTCTTAAACACCTCCAAGCATGGCAAGTCCACCACCACTCTGGGTAACCGGTTCCAGTGTTTTACTACTCTTCTAGTGACAAAGTTATTCCTAACCTCAGATCTAACCTAAGATCTAACTTCCCTTGCTGCAGCTTTAGCCCATTGCTCCTTGTCCTGTCGTCTGCCCCCACTGAGACCAGTCCAGCTCCGTCCCCTTTGCAGCCCCCCTGCAGGGAGGTGAAGGCTGCTATTCAATCCCCTTTGGTCTTCTCTTCTGCAGACTAAAAAACCCGTTTCCTCAGCCTCTCCTCACAAGCTGTCCCTCAGCCCCCCAACCTTTTTTCTTGCCCTCCACTGGACTCTCTCCAATTTGTCTACATCCTTCCTTGAAAGGCCACGTTGAGAAGCTGGACACAAGCAACTGGTTGAGGCAGACTGCTCTCTGCAGAGCTGCTCTGCCAGTTGTTCACTGTGCACCAGGTGGGGGTCCCAAAAAACATGTCCCCATAAGCCAGCAGGCACCCCACGGAGTTAATGAACCCACACGGAGTGCCACTACGCTGCCCGTCAATCGGGACAGGGAGTCCCGGCACACACAGCATCACCTTGCACACACACAGCATCACCTTGCATCACACGGAGGCAGTGTAAGGCATGCAGGAGCACCATGCAGAGACAGGCTGCGCTAGGTGGAGGCAGGATGACCAGGTTCTGCTGGCAGGCAAAATGGTTCTGCTGAGAAGTGGAGCTAATAGGTCCACGTGCAGCACCGAGCGCACAGTTATGCCTCCTTCCAGTCCAGGAGCAAGTGTACCTGTGCCCCTGCTCACACTGTCCAAGGGAGGGGGTGCTGCGTATCAACCATCTCACCATCCCCACGGCCATGGGCCATCTCCATACTTTATGCGATGCAGCAGGGGTGTTTTGGCCCGGGTCGTTGATAAGGATGTTGAACGGGGCCAGCAATCGCTCCCTCCAGAGCCCCATTAGCAACAGCTGCTCAGTAATGATTCCCCATTGCACCACTGCATTGTGAGATCTCAGCTAGGCAGTTTTTAATCAATGTAATGTGTGCCTTGTTGATTCGGGGTAATTCTACTTTGTTAATTAAAATGTCAGAGGCATAAAAGACAAATGCCTTGTGGAAGTTGAAGGGTGTCCTATCAAGACAATTCCCTTTATCAGCCAAACTTGGAAACCTAATAAAAATCTTATAAATGAATATGACAAGACCTGTTTTCCATAAACTCATGTTGGTTGGCATTATATTGCCCTCCTTTAATTCTTTATTAAATCAATTCCTGCATCAACTAGTTCTTTACTTTGCCTTGGATCAGTGTCGGGTAGATAGGCCTGTAATAACCAGATCATCCAGTTTGCTCTTTTTAAATACTGCTGCAACATTAACTTACCTATCCTGGGGTTTATAGCTTATAGGAGATTGAATATTAAGAGTCCAGCTTGCTCCTTGGCCAACTCTTTTTAAACTCTCAGATGCACATTATTTGCATTGGCTGACTTGAAAGCCTCTCGCTTCAGCAGATGTTTGAAGTCTTCCTCAACTACTGTTGGAAGGGAAAGTATTTCAGCCAGCGTCAGATATGACTGTATTATTCATTCTGGATGTATTGAACACTTCTATGTTTACATTATTTTTGCCAGTTCTACCAGTTCATTTAACAGCAGACCGATATCATTGTTTGCTTTCTTTTTGTTTCTAAGATATTTTAA